TGGGATTACGTGGAGTTTTGCTTGAATTGGGCATAAAATGTGCTCTGAGCGTCATCTAAGTCACAACAATAAAAGAACACAGTCTGCTGAACATGATACTACACAAACATTAGATGTTGCCATGGTTTAATTGCACATAACATGTAAACATTCACAGTGCAGGGAGGAAAAAGTATGTGAACCTTTGGACTTAATAACTGGTTGACCCTCCTTTGGCAGCAATAACCTCAACCAAACGTTTCCTGTAGTTGCAGATCAGACCTGCACAACGATCTGGAGTAATTTTGGACCACTCCTCTTCACAAAACTGTTTCAGTGTAGCAATATTCTTAGGATGTCTGGTGTGAAAATCGCTCTCTTAAGGTCATGCCACAGCATTTCAATCGGGTTGAGGTCAGGACTCTGACTGGGCCACTCCAGAAGGCGTATTCTGTACTGTTGCAGCCATTGTTTTGTTGAATTACTTGTATGCTTTGGGTCATTGTCCTGTTGCATCACCCATCCTCTGCGGAGCTTCAGTTGGCGGACAGATGGTCGTACATTTTCCTGCAAAATGTCTTGATAAACTCTGGAATTCATTTTCCCATCGATGACAACAATCCGTCCAGGCCCTGAGGCAGCAAAGCAGCCCCAAACCATGAAGCTCCCTCTGCCATGTTTTACAGTGGGGATGAGGTTTTTTTGATGTTGGCGTGCTGTGCCTTTTTTTCTCCACACATAGTGTTGTGTTCTTCCCAACCAAATCAATCTTGGCTTCATCTGTCCACAGTATATTTTGCCAGTAGTGCTGTGGAACATCCAGGTGCTCTTTTACAAACGTGCTGCAATATTCTTTTTGGACAGCAATGGCTTCCTCCGTGGTGTCCTCCCATGTACTCCATTCTTGTTTAATGTTTTCCTTATTGTAAATGTGTCAACAAAAATTTTAGCATGTGCCAGAGATTTCTGTAGGTCTTTAGCTGACACTCTGGGATTCTTCTTTACCTCATGCAGCATTCTACGCTGTGCTCTTGCAGTCATTTTTACAGGACGACCACGCCTAGGGAGAGTAGCAACAGTGCTAAACTTTCTCCATTTGTAGACAGTCTGTCTTACCGTGGACACATGATCATCAAGGCTTTTGGAGATACTTTTGTAACCCTTTCCAGCTTCATGCAAGTCAACAATTCTTGATCGTAGGTCTTCTGAGAGCTCTTTTCTGCGAGGCATGGTGCACATCAGACAGTGCTTCTTGAAACCAGTAAACCCAAAACAGGTGTGTGTTTTTTAAGGGCAGGACAGCTGTCAGCAACACATCCAATATCATCACACTGATTGGAGTCAAGGTTGGCTCACTCCTGGCTCCAATTAGCTCTGGGAGAAGTCATTAAGCTAGGGCCTCACATACTTTTTCCTCCCTGCACTGTGAATGTTTACATGTTATGTGCAATTAAACCATGGCAACATCTAATGTTTGTGTAGTATTATGTTCAGCAGACTGTGTTGTGTTCTTCTATTGTTTGTGACTTAGATGACGTTCAGAGCACATTTTATGCCCAATTCATGCAAAACTCCACGTAATCCCAAGGGTTCACATACTTTTTCTTGCAACTGTAAGTACAACTTATTGAAAAACTGAATTTTAAAACATTACAACCATTATGAAGATAATTTCTAACATGCTGATCTCCCACTTGTTTATCTAACAAAGAAGCATGAGTTTAGCATGAATAAAAACAATAATTAATTTCCACTTTATTACTTTTAAATATGAATTTACAGCAAAATCATTCACATTTTCAGCCAGACTAACTATGTTTTACCATTTATCTGTCAAGTGCAGGTGAGATAATAAAATATGCTGCTCACACCACTAATCAAAGTAGTTCTTTGTGTTAGGGAGCAGATTGTTCCCAACCTTTTTCTATTCAGGTCAGAGAGTGATGCAACAAAGTTATCCATTGTTTTGGTTGAATGTGTTGGGGTTAAAAACCTGATAATAATCATGCACAAGCATTATCCACATGTTTGCATAACAAATATCACTGCAACTGACCAGGATTGTTTAGAAGACAAAAAAAAAAACTTGATAAAATCAATTTTCTTAGACTTTTGTTTGCAGGAGGAAAATCCTTCCAAAAAACAGCCTCATGATGAACCGTCTGTTGGGTCATGAAAAGTCATGGCAACAGGTTCAGAGATGAAGGGTAGATATGTTATCTCTATTTGTTCTCTTTGAAAAAAAAATGTCTGCCTATGGATAGCTTAAAGTGGAATTGCACTAGAGGCGTAACTAGAACCTTCAGGGCCCTGGTGCAAGAAACCATGAAGGACCCCCCCCCCCCTCTAAACCCGGGGCCCTTTACTCCAATCATGGTCCCTTTATTACGGTCCTGTAGCAGAGCCATTTTACATGTTCAGCAGTAGGCTCCCTTCCTGCCACTTGGGTAGGGTTGCCACATTTTCTTCAAGCCAAACCCGAACACTCTAATGGCACATGGCAAATATTTTTGTAGTATATACGTATATTTTGTGAATATATACAATTTCTAATTATATGGATTTAATCACGTGTCCCCCCCTTACATCTGAACTCTCGTAGAGTTCCCTCCTTACATCTGAACTCGCAGAGTTCCCCCCCCTTACATCTGAAACCACGGAGTTCCCCCCTTACATCTGAACCCGCGGAGTTTCCCCCCTTACATCTGAACGCGGAGTTCCCCCCTTACATCTGAACCCGCGGAGTTCCCCCCTTACATCTGAACCCGCGGAGTTCCCCCCTTACATCTGAACCCGCGGAGTTCCCCCCTTACATCTGAACCCACGGAGTTCCCCCCTTACATCTGAACCCGGGGAGTTACCCCCCTTACTTCTGAACCCGCGGAGTCCTCCCCCTTACATCTGAACACTGTAAGGGGCAACTCTGCAGACTCTGGCGTAAGGGGAAATCTGATATAAGGGGGTCTCTGGTAACCAGAGCCCCCACTTACATCAAAGTTCCCAGAATTCCCCTTTAATCAGGGTTTCTAGAGCATCCCCCCCCCCCCCATCAGAGTCCACAGAGCCCCCTACAGAGAATTTCCATTTACTCTGTGGAGACCTCTGCAAATTATGTACCTCTGCAGATCTGTAAAGGGGAACTCTGATTTAAGGGGGGAGGCTCTGATGTAAGGGGGAATGCTGTGAACTCTGGTGTAAAGGGGAACTCTGATGTAAGGGTGTCTCTGTTTCACCAAAGTCCCCCTTACACCAGAGTCCAGAGAGCACCCCTTACATCAGACCTCCTTTTACATTATTGTACTGGGAGGCAGGGGAGAAAGGGAGGAGACTTTGCCCATAGGATGAATGGATGGGCTCTTGGCACCGTTGACCTGCTGTGTGGCTTCAATTCAAACTTCCCTGGCTGTGCTCCTCCTCCTCCTGCCCTCTCCTCTTGTGTCTGCCCTGCCAACACATCCTTGATACACTGCTCCTCTCCCGTTCCTGAAGGGGGGGGGGATGAGGGAGGAGGGGGGAACTGTCAGCGCTGGCTCTGGGCTGCCTGTAAGAGAATCTCATCTCAGAGCCCTACAGCCAGCAACACTGGGAGACACAGTCCAGGCTCTTGGGATACCCCCCCCCCCCCACAGTGGTGGAACTCCTGGGCCCAGTCATAATTGTGACTTCTCGACCCTGGTAGTTCCACCACTGAACTGCACTGCATCTGAGTACCACATACCAGCAATGCTATAGCATTCATTTTTAATATTAAAAACAAACTCCACCATCCATCCATGTCTCCATGCTTTTATTTTGCTGATAAATCATTTTGCAAAACACCTCCTGGCATTTCTGGCAGTGGCCATCTTAAATAAGTGCAGATGATTCATGTAGCATTTATGTCCTGGAATCCATCTGTCCTTAGCTCAGGCATTGGCTGAGCTGAGAACCCTCCCTCCCCTCCTGTAAGCTCCTGGAATGTATGAAATCTGTTGCCTGAGCGTTAATGAAGGAATGCAAAAAAAAGGTTAAAAAAGGTTAAAACAAGTAAATATGACCTACTTTCCTATCTATTTACTAATGCTGACAGCATAAGGATTAGAAATAGTCCATGGTGATTGAGAGAGTGAGGTTCCTCTATAACCACTGGCCAACTGCGCATTAGCCGAATGACAGCTACAGCATGCTTGTCCAGTCCTGGGAGGGGGTCATATGACGTCCTCCAAGAACACGCCCTCCCATGCACCCAAGGACACGGATACAGCTGATCACTTGATGTGGCAAAAGGCCAATCACAGTGCCTTTTACCACGTGATCAGCTGTGTCCAATAACACACTGAAATGCAGTTGCCGGTTATCAGCTCGACTTTATTCGCTCTGTCACAGCATGAGGAAAGAACTGCCAATAACAAGCAATTGTCAGAGGACGGATCGGCACTGATAAGTGCCCATCAGTGCCACTCACCTGTGCCCATCAGTGCCTAGTAGCGCCACCCATCTGTGCCCAGCAGTGCCCCCGTCAGTGCCACCCATCAGTGCTGTCTAGCAGTGCCCAGCAGTGCCGCCAGTCAGTGCCCAGCAGTGCCGTCAGTCAGTGCTGCCCATCTGTGCCGCCTATCAATGCCCATCATTGTTGCATATCAGTGCAGCATCACCAGTGCCGCCTATCAGTGCTGCCCATCAGTGCCACCTATCAGTGCAGCCTCATCAACGCACATCATTGAAGGAGAAAAATTACCTGTTTGCAAAATGTTATAAAAGAAACAAAGAAAAACTTTTTTTTTTTTTCAAATGCTTTGTCCTTTTTTTGTTATTAGCGCAAAACATAAAACACCCAGTGGCAGATTAACTAGTAGCCGACCGCAGATAGCCGAATGACGGCTGCACTGCGGCCAGCCAGTTCTGGGTGGCGCGCACCCGGCGATCTCCGTGATCGCTGTGTCCTACGGACGCAGCTGATCACGTGATGTGGTAAAAGGCCAATCACAGCGGCCTTTTACCACGTGATCAGCGGTGTCCAATGACACGCTGATCACAGGGAAATTCAAGTGCGGTTCTCGGCTGCACTTTCCTCACGCTGTCAGATCGTGAGGAAAGTACTGCCGAGAACCGGCAGTTGTCAGAGCGGGGATCGGCACCGATCATCAGGGCACTGATGATCAGTGCCCTGATGATCGGTGCCCAGCAGTGACACCCGCAAGTTCCGCCCACCTTTGCCCAGCAGTGCGCCCACTAGCTACGCCCACCTGTGCCCAGCAGTGCCCCCACCTGTGCCCAGCAGTGCACCCACCTGTGCCACTCTGCAGTACCACCTACCTGTGCCCAGAAGTGCCACCCACCTGTGCCCACCCACCTGTGCCCACCCACCTGTGCCCACCAGTGCCACCCACCTGTGCCCACCCACCGGTGCTGCCCACCAATGCCACCCACAAGTGCAGCCCAGCAGTGCTGCCAGTCAGTGCCACCAGTCAGTGCCCAGGGGTTGTGCCAGTCAGTGCCGCCAGTCAGTGCCCAGCAGTGATGCCAGTCAGTGCCGTCTATCAGTACCCATCATCAGTGTCACCTATCAGTGGCGCCTATCAGTGCTGCATATTAGTGCCACCTATCCGTGACACCTCATTAGTGCTGTCTATCAGTGCCGCCTATCCGTGACACCTCATTAGTGCTGTCTATCAGTGCCCTTTAGTGCTGTCTATCAGTGCCCATCAGTGCCGCCTATCAGTGCCCATCAGTTCTGCCTCATCAACGCACATCAGTGAAGGAGAAAAAATACCTGTTTGAAAAATTTTATAAAAGAAACAAAGAAACTTTTTTTTTTTTTTTCAAATTTTTTGCACTTTTTTTATTTATAGCGCAAAAAGTAAAGCGCCCAGTGGCGATTAAATACCACCAAAAGAAATCTCTATTTGTGAGAAAAAAATGATCAAAATTTTATATGGGTACAATGTTGCATGACCGCGGAATTGTCAATCAAAGTGCGGCAGCGCTGAAAGCTGAAAATTGGCCTGGTAAATAAGGGGGTATAAGTGCCTGGTAGGCAAGTGGTTAAATACCACCAAAAGAAAGCTCTATTTGTGTGGATAAAAATGCTAAAAATGTCATATGAGTACCGTGTTGCATGACCGCGCAATTGCCATTCAAAGTGCGCTAGCGCTGAAAGCTGGCCTGGGCAGGAAGGGGGTGTAAGTGTCGGGTAGGCAAGTGGTTAAGCTGTAAATACAGAGAATTGTTGATGGATCGTGATGGGATTTTTTTTTTTGTCATATTACATGAAAATCAGTGACAGAAGCATTACAGTTTTTGTGGGGAGAGATTGCGATGATTATAGTACGACTTCTTTGCGATTTTGATGTGATTTTAAGTTAAGATTGTGACTAGTACTACGACTAATACTGCTTCCACTAGTAGTACTCCTCCCTCTGTTCCTCTTGGAGGAGAGTTAACGTTTTACTAAACCCACAACAATCTGTATATGCAGTAAAGCATGCTTGTTATACTCACTGTGAAACCTAAGGGGTTAATCTTCTGCATTGTGTAAAAAGGCTGTTTGATCCTGTCTTCTCTGACCCTCCCCTTCTTTTACTGTTCGCAATCTATTTGCCATAATACAGAAGCAGTTGCTAGAGAGTTGTTTGTTTGGTTTTTTTTTTTTTGGGGGGTGCATGTTATCAGCACAGGGCCAATCAGCACTGTCTGGACAGAGGGTCAGGGGTCATGCTGCCTCATAGGACGGTCAGAGGAGAATGAAAATTCCTCCTACAAGATTAACCTCCCTGGCGGTATGATTATTTCAGATTTTTTGGTGCTGAAAGCGGTACCATTTTTTTGCATGGAAAATATGTATTTTTTTTATTGTAGGCTGTAATTTTTAGGAAAAAACTCACTGAAATCTGTCCGAACAAGAGTCTAGTAAACATCCCGGGTATGATAAAATTTGAAACACAAAATCATAAATTATAATTTAATAAATAATCATAAAAATATATATAAAAATAATAAAAAATGTAATTCAATAATATAATCAAACCAAAAACACTGAAATGTGAAATATAGCGCCAAGTTTGCACATCTCTGAGCAAAGTTGCAAAATCGTTTTCAGTTTCTGATGACGAATTTCCCCACGAATCATTATCACTCAATTCTGTAAGTGGTTCTGATTTACTATCGCTGTTTCTAGCTGATCTAAACCGCTTTTGACCTAAAGGGACACTTTTTACGCCATGGACATTTCTCAGTTTGCAGAAAGAACAGACAAAATGCAGGCAGGGCACAGGACAAAGCACTAGGGACAATATGTATGTGAAATTGGTTGAAACAGCAATGTTTTTATGAAAAAATGGGGTAAAAAAAAAAAAAATGACATTTTTTAAAATTTTTAAATTTCAGCACCGGTCCCGACGTCACAGGGACAGGACACAGAAGCCGGATGCCGGCACGGAGGAGATGGCCGGGGGTGCAGGGGTGGGAGCGCAGGGTAAGGTAAGTGAAGACAACATCGGAGCAGTGCCGCAGGGTAACGAGTGTAGCAGGGGTTACCGCTTTTGGTACTGAAATGTTACCCCGAGCTACATCGGGAATACCGTCAAGGAGGTTAACCAATGCTCAGCCGGAACACTGATAGAAGTCACAAGATTGCTATACACTGCTGCAGTTTTCTATTTACTAAAATAGTTGCATTTACATGCTCTGTGTACTGTGGGAGTCGGATATAGTGAATGCAGGGTCATGGATCACTTTAAGGGTTAAAAAACATGAAATTTCTTTCAAAATCACACCAGACTAACATATACACGTGGTTTAAGTGCATTTCCATTAAATTCTATGGGGCCAAAATCATGCTGGAATCGCGCCAAAGTAGTACAGGACCCTTTTCCAAAATTGCACTGTGACATGAGTCGCATTGATGTGAACAGGCACCATTGAAAAAAAATGCGATTTCCACTGTTATGCAATTCTGTGTAACTCAGTCGCATCAGAAATTGCACTAGTGTGAATCAGACCTGAAGTGGGCCCTCTGCATTCAGAAATTGCTGTCACGTCCCAGTATACAGCAGCAGCAGCAGTGCTGGATTTATAAGGGGACAAAAGGGGCAACTGCCAATGGCCCCCGACAGAAGGGGTCTCCCGAAACAAAAATAATTTAAAACAATATTTTAGAATTTATTTTAATATACATTTTTAAAATAATATAAAGTACTATATAGTAATAAAAAAATTAATTTATTTTATTAAATGTATCTTGGACTGGTATATTGTATCATTTGTTTTTGGGGTTTTTTTTTAACACATTTTGTTAGTTCAAGCAAGCCACACACAGGGGTTGATTTACTAATGGCAAATAGATTATGCACTTAGCAAGTGTAGTTAGGCCCCTTTTTTCTTAGTAAATCCAAATGTGGTAAAGCTTTACCTGTTTAAAAAATACTCAATCAGGTGTAAGGAAAATAAAAAAGAAGTATTTTTTTGCTTGCACGTGATTGGATAATGGAAATAAGGAGAGCTTTACCACATTTATTATGCCCTGGGGAAAATGAGTGCACTTTGCCCTAAGTAAATGAACTTCGTAGAGTGCTCACACTGCAGTGCATGTGTATGTGTGTTTACACGCATACTTGACCTTAGAATGACAGCGTGTCATGCATTTTGAAAATGTTTAACTGTCAAAACAACTCTGTGCATAAGGGGTCCTTGAATCTGAAGTTCATGCCCACACCCCCCCCCCCCCCCCCCCAAGGTCTAAATCAGGCCCTAAGCAACCATATCATTTTTCATTAAATAGCCATCCTTGAGCTCCAGTCCAGTGACTTTACCTAGGCTAAGGTGATGCCATTAGTTTCCTACTGTCAAAAAGGAGAATTTCCTTAAAATATTAGTTTACTATTTCAGAAAAAAAATGAAAAGGGGAACTAACACGTTCTCGCCCCCAGTCCCCGCTGTACTCCATGGATGCTGAGCTGTCAGTGCCCACACAGCCGGTCCAGATGTCTGGGGATTTTCTACCTCCTCTCTCTGCAGTACTTCCGGGACTGATCAGAGCAATTCTGATTGGTCACCACCAGCACACAGTATTGCTCTGATCTGAAGTCCTGCAGAGGGAGAAGAACAGGGATTTCAAATCCCAGGTCCACTGCAAAGGCTGAGAGTGGGCACTGACAGCTCAGAATCCATGGAGGTAAGTACAGCAGGGACCAGGGGCATGGGGAGGATGTAGGGTGTTAGTTCACCCATTTCTTTTTTCTGAAAAGGTGTATTAACACTTTAAGGCTCTATTCCTCAATCCAAAAAATGTCAATCACGATGCCTGCCACCGACCCAAAAAAGTGAAAAAAAAGCTCTGCTCCCGACGCTGGCTCCAGGCTGTCTGATTGCTCTGCTGGCTTGACAGTTCTTAAATATGTAAGGGGCGGGGCCATACAGTGACATCACGTATGTGACCCTGCCCCGCGTGACATCATTGACCTAGCATGGCCCGGCCGTTGATATTACGCAGGGGCAGGGTCACATGGGTGATGTTACTGGGTGGTCCCGCCCCTTACATATTTAAGAACTGTCAAACCAGCAGAGCAGTCAGACGGCTGGGAGCCAGCGTCGGGAGCGGAGATTCTTTAAAATCTTTATTTCAGGTTGGTGGCGGGCCTCGTGATTGACGTTGGATCTACTTCAGTGGACATTCCTTTATTTTCCGTCTTTTAATAAAGGACTTGTCAAAGACTGTCGCCCGTCTTTTTTTCACACTAAAGTTTTTTTTGTGAATGGATAGCGGTACCATGTACCCCATACTCATTCACATAGGGGTGGGCCGGGATCTGGGGGCCCCCTTGTTAAAAGGGGCTTTCAGATTCCAATAAGCCAGATTCCAATAATTGATAAAATAACTCATGCAGTATTTTAGTAAAGTTTTTTTTGTGGATTCAAACTTTTTTTAAAAATGCTATGCGGTATCCTAACGCATACTCGGATGTGGTAAGATACCACTTGGTTAATTGTGCCTGCTGTCCCTGGATGATGCCTAAACAAATATAGTGCTGCAGGTGTAGGTTACAAAAGTCTTAGAAACTTGGTTAGCACCAGGCTTTTTTTTCAGTGGGAACACAGGGGAACTCTGTTCCGGCACCTCAAACACTGAATGAGGTGCTGGAGGGTATATTGATCCTAGCTATTGGGGGACCTGTTGTAACTGGGGATCATTTGTTGTTGGATCTATTTTTGCTGGAGAAATCTCATATTGCTAGGGGGTCAATAGTTGCTGGGAGGGATCTATTGTTGAGGGAGTGGTCTATTGTAGCTGGCTGCTGGAGGGACTATTAATGCTGGCTGCTGGGAGATCTGTATTGTTACAGAGACTGTATTGTCTAGTGCTGCTGGGGGAGGATTTTTTTTTGAGGGGGGCAAGCTCTGGAAGATTTTACTCTGTTCAGGACCAGACCATTTGTTAATTAACACTGTGCTGTTTTAACTGGCAATTTTGTGGTCATGCAATGTTTAAATTTACCGTATTTTCCGGCGTATAAGACGACTGGGCGTATAAGACGACCCCCTACTTTTCCTGTTAAAATATAGGGTTTGAGCTATACTCGCCGTATAAGACTACCCCTCTTCCAACGCACACCAAATAAAAATGAAAAAACATCAGATTTGATTTCAATATGGTATGCTATTTCAGTATGGTATTCCAATGATGGGGTGCTATTCCTCCCACTGACACCAATGATGGGGCACGATTTTCTCGCTCTGACACCGATGATGGGACACTATTCCTCCCACTGACACCAATGATGAGGCACTACTCCTCCCACTGACACCAATGATGGGGCACTATTTCATCCACTGACACCAATGATGGGGCACTATTCCTCCCACTGATACCAATGATGGGCCCCACTATTCCTCCCACTGACACCAATGATGGTGCCCCATCATTAGTGTCAGTGTGTGAGGAATAGTGCCCCATCATTAGTCAGTGGGAGGAATAGTGCCCCATCATTAGTCAGTGGGAGGAATAGTGCCCCATCATTGCTGTCAGTGGGAAGAATCGTGCCCCATCATTGGTGTCAAGTGGGAGGAATAGTGTCCCATCATTGGTGTCAGTGGGAGGAATAGTAGTGCTCCATCATTGGTGTCAGTGGGAGGAATAGTGGCTCATCATTGGTATCAGTGGGAGGAATAGCACCCCATCATTGGTATCAGTGGGAGGAATAGCACCCCATCATTGGTGTCAGTGGGAGGAATAGCACCCCATCATTGGTATCAGTGGCAGGAATTGCGCCCCATCATTGGTGTCAGTGGGGAGAATAGTGCCCCATCGTTGGGGTCAGTGGGGAGAATAGTGCCCCATCGTTGGTATCAGTGGGGGAGGAATAGTGCCCCATCATTGGTATCAGTGGGGAGAATAGTGCCCCATCGTTGGTATCAGTGGGAGGAATAGTGCCCCATCATTGGTATCAGTGGGAGGAATAGTGCCCCATCATTGGTGTCAGTGGGAGGAATAGTGCCCCATCATTGGTGTCAGTGGGGAGGAGGAATAGTGCCCCATCATTGGTATCAGTGGGGAGGAGGAATAGTGCCCCATCATTGGTATCAGTGGGGAGAACAGTGCCTCAACGTTGGTGTCAGTGGGGGAGGAACAGTGCCTCATTGTTGGTGTCAGTGGGGGAGGAACAGTGCCTCATCGTTGGTGTCAGTGGGAGAGGAACAGTGCCTCATCGTTGGTGTCAGTGTGGAGGAACAGTGGAGGTCAGTGTGGAGGAGGAATAGTGCCCCATCGTTAGTGTCAGTGGAGGAGAGGAGCGGCTGCTCCTTCTACAAGTGCGGCCGCTCGATTTTCGTGGGGCCGCTCGGCTCCGCCTCCTCGCCGGTGATTGGTCGCCTGTGTGCCTTTCCAGTGCTGGCGCCCAATCACCGGTGAGGAGGCGGAGCCAAGTGGCCGCGTGACCATCGAGCGGCCGAACTGAAAGAAGGAGCAGCCGCGCTTCCTGGACCGGATCGTCGTGGGACCGGAGCCAGGTAAGGTACAGCAGCCCCTCTGTCCACCCCTGTACTTATTGTCCGCTGGAGGAGGAGGGGGGGCGGCGCCGCGCCGCCCCTCGAAAAAGTGCTGCCCTGACTCGCACCGGCGTATAAGACGACCCCCGACTTTTCAGAAGATTTTCAGGGGTTGAAAAGTCGTCTTATACGCTGGAAAATACGGTATATAATTTATTTCACACAAATAGAGCTTTCTTTTGGTGGTATTTGATCACCACTGGGGGTTTTATTTTGTTTTATATAAATGAAAAACCCCCAAAAATTTTGAAAAACAATATTTTTTTACTTTGGACTATAAAACATAGCCAATACAAAAATTTAAAAAATATATAATTTCTTCCTGAATTTAGGCCAAAATGTATTCTGCTACATCTTTGCTAAAAAAAAATTCCCAATAAGAGTATATTAATTGGTTTGCATGGAAGTTATAATGTCTACAAACTATGGTATGTATACTGGAATTTTTATTTATTATTGCATACTAATAATGGCGGTGATCAGCAACTTATAGTGGGACTGTGATAGTGGCAACTGACTAACTGGCACTGGCATCACCAGTGACACTAATACAGTGATCAGTGTTAATACTATACACTGTCATTGTACGGACACTGGCTGGGAAGGGGTTAACATCTGGGGGCAATCAAAGGGTTGACTGTGTGCCTAACAATGTGTACTGTGTGTAATGATTGCAGCTTTTACTAAGCGATGTGATTTTTTTTATTCTCTGCTTCACAAGACAGCCACTCTGAGCATTCTGCAGAGAGCCCTGTGTGGACCACTAATGCCTCATACACACGATCAGAATATTGGCTGAATGATTGATCATTTTTGGTTTTTGGGGGGTTTTTTTTGCATGCTACTCTCATATCGGAAATGAAGAGGTTACTAAAGTTCCGAAAATTCTCATACGACAGAATACAACTTCGGAAGTGATGTCATGTTTTGTCGTGTATTGTATTGTAATGTATACTTTAATTTCTGAGCATGCACAGTCGATTCTTTTTTATTGCTGACAAATACTGTACTGAATAAATGGAAACCATTCATTCTGGTATTGTACAAGAAACTTTTTTTTGCTTGTCCCTTCGGATAATTTAGCATGAACTGTTGTTATCGGCTCTCAAAAGCTGCGTACTAATGATCAGATTATCGGACGATCGCTCTGGAAGCACTATTTTTCGTCTAATTTTCTCATCGTGTGTACTATGCTTAAGTGCACCTAAACAGAAGGGAAAGATAGAATGTGGGAGGGGGAGTGAGGAGTGGGGGGAGTAGGGGAGAGAATAGGGGGGCAAATTTTTTTTTGTTGTTGTTTGTTTTTTCTCTCTCTCTCTCCCTCTTCTCCCCCCTGCATGTCCTTCTGGCCTCTGGAAATTTATGGCATTAGCTAGAGGGATGTAGGGGAAGGGGGGGGTGAGCCATGCATGGGCGGAGCTCAACCCCAGGGATTGAATCAAAGGTGGGATCGAGCCCACAAATGATTTGTAGGCAAATTATAAGCCGAGCAGAGGGAAGGGTGGGAATGGGGGGGGGGGGGGGGGTTGGGTGGAGGGGGAGAAGTGGAATGGGGGGAGGGAAGTGGGGGAAGGTGGGGGGGATATGGGGGTGGGTAGGTAGGTTTATACTCTGTGATAGGCGAGAAAATACAGCAATAAAGAGAAAAAGAGAGAGGAGATGAAGGGGAGGAGTGGAGTTAAAAGAAGGACGGAGGAGATACAGTTTGTAACTTATAATGTAAATGGGTTAAATTGCCCAGGGAAGAGGTTTAGGTTGTTTAAGGAGTTACAACATAGATCATCTTCAGTGGTCTTTTTGCAGGAGACACACCTAAGGATAGAGACAAATGTGAAGTTAAACTCTAGATATTATCAACTATGGTACTATGCAGATTCCCCAATTAGAAGAGCGAAGGGAGTAGCAATAGGGTTTGCAAAAAATATAAGGTTTGAATTGGAAGATAGAGTAACAGACCCTGAAGCGAGATTTCTGTTTCTAAAGGGTAAACTACAAGAAATAGAGTGTACAGTAGCTAATATTTTCTGTCCAAATAAGAAGCCGGAGATATTCTTGAAAAATGTATTGAAAGAACTGATGGATTTTAAAAAAGGTAGACTGATTGTGGCCGGAGATTTTAACATATGTATGGATCCACAGGTGGATGCAACTTCTTCTGTGCAGAGAGAAGAGAGCAGGTCTCTGAGATCATTGAAGAGGCAGATATATGACTACCAATTGGTGGATACATGGAGAATTAAACATATGAAGGATAGAGACTATACTTTCTTCTCACATGCACATGAGACATATTCAAGGCTGGATTATATATTGTTAGAACATTGATTTATAGAGTCCTTGGTCAAAGTAAAAATTGAAGTAACGTCAATATCAGATCATGCTCCTGTCACAATGAAATTAAGATGGGGAAGAGAGATGAAAGGGGGAATAGCATGGAGGTTGAATGAGACACTTCTCCTGGATCTAGAGACCGATCAAAAAATTGGGGAGGAAATTGAGCGATTTTTTGGGGAAAATGATACAGGAGATGTGTTGGTAGCTACACTATGGGAGGCACACAAGGTTAACATTAGAGGAATTCCTATTGTGATCGGGGCAAAAAAAAAAGGAAAAGGAGAGAAAAAATGAATGGGCTTCTAAAAGAAATATTTGATCTTGAACAAATACATAAAAATAGAATAACTAAAGAAATAATGCAGAAGGTAATAAATAAGAAAGAAGAATTAAATAATCTGATGGAAGAAGAAAAGAGAAGAGTTTTTAATAAAATGATAAGTGAGCAGTATAGATGGGGAGATAGGCCTGGAAAGTACCTAATGAGAGCCCTGAGGAAAAAAAAGAATATGACTTCTATAGAAAAAATAAGAAATCCAAAGGGAGAACTGGTTCATTCAACTAAGGATATTGCTAAGGTGTTCAAAGAATATTATAATAAGCTGTACAATATTATCTCCCATAACTCTATAAAGAAAGATAGAATAAGGAATATCGAAAAAAGACGGACATACATAATTTTGGAAAGCTCTATGTGAAGTTTAAGGAATCAAACTTTCTTTCTCATCCGCATACCATCCGCAGACAAATGGGCAGCCTGAAAGGACGAACCAGACATTGGAACAGTATCTCAGATGCTATACCTCGTTTCTCAAGGAGAAACGAGGTATAGCATCTGAGATACTGTTCCAACGTTTGGTTCGTCCTTTCGATCTGCCCATTTGTCTGCGGATGGTATGCGGATGAGAAAGAAAGTTTGATTCCTAAAGCTTCACATAGAGCTTTCCAAAATTTCGAGGTGAACTGGACCCCCCGGTCAGAGACAATATCTTTCGAAATCCCATGAAGTCTTACAACTTCCTTCACAAAGATTTGTGCCGTCTCAAGAGCCAGGGGCGTGTTTCTTAGTGGTAAAAATGGGCCATCTTTGACAGGCAATCCACAATCACAAAGATTGCCGTGTGATCTTGAGAATATGGGAGCTCCACTACAAAGTCTATGGAGATCATTTTTCATGGCCTGTCAGGTATGGGTAAAGGTCATAGTAAACCCTAGGCCTTGCTGCTGGTGGGCTTGTTCCTCTGACAAATGGCGCAAGTTTTCACGTATAACTCGCAATCCTTGACCATACTCGGCCACCAGAACGTGCGCTGTAATAATTCCAAAGTCTTAAATGCTCCAAAATGACCTGCCAATGGATGATCATGACAGTAGCCCAGGACCAAGGTACGGACCTCCTCAGGTACCACGATCTGTCCCTCTTTCCAAAAAAGTCCTTCTTTGTTCTGCAAGGAAACCCCGGGTGGATTCGGCATTCCTACAGATGCAGTCCGTAATCTGGAACGTAGGTCAGATTGGAGGGCGAGAAAATTTCCAGTAGACAGAATGGTGTCTGGTTTAGGGACCTCTTCAGGGTCCTCGAACATGAGCGAGAGAGCGTCAGGCTTTGTGTTCTTGGATCCAGGTCTATAAGTTATATGAAAACACAAATCTTGAGAAGAATAGTGCCCAACGGGCCTGACGTGGTCTCATGCGCTTAGCCGTCCTCAAGTATTCTAAATTCTTGTGGTCTGTAAGAATAAGGATCGGATGTGTAGCCCCCTCTAGCAGGTACCTCCAACTCTTCTAGTGCCGTCTTGATTGCCAGGAGTTCTCAGTCTCCAATGTCATAGTTTCTCTCTGCTGACATAGGTTTTCTAGAAAAGAAGGCTACTGGGTGCATGAGTTCTTTGGTACCCCTTTTCTGGGACAAGACTGCCCCTACTGCGTTCTCAGATGCATCCACCTCCAATATGTAGGGTAAGGAGAAATCTGGGTGGCTTAGAACAGGGGCTGTGGTAAATAATCCCTTCAAGGTTTCAAATGCCGCCTGTGCTTCAGGTGTCCACCGGAAGCGAACCCCTTGCTTGGTGAGCTGGGTAATGGGGGACACAAGCCCCGAGAAGTTCCTAATTAACTTCCTATAGAAGTTGGCGAAGCCAATGAATCGTTGAACGCCTTTCTTATCGGTGGGTACTGGCCAGTCCAAAATTGCAGAGATTTTCTGGGGGTCCATTGCAACTCCTGTGGTGGAGATAATCAGCCCCAAGAAGGCAATACTGCGCTGTTCAAGGCTGCATTTGTCTGCCTTGGCATACAACCCGTGTTGGCGAAGTCTCTCCAACACGCTCCTGACATGGCCTCTATGTGATTCCAGGGAGGAGGAGAAGATCAGAATATCATCTAAGTAGATGACAACAAAGACGTCTAAATAGTCTCGGAACA